CATTCCCGTCCCAATCCCTGGCAGCATTCCAGTCCATTCCATCCCAATCCCACCCAGCATTCCAGTCCATTCCCATCCCAATCCCACCCAGCATTCCAGTCCATTCCCATCCCAATCCCAGGCAGCATTCCAGTCCATTCCCATCCCAATCCCACGCAGCATTCCAGTCCATCCCCATCCCAATCCCACCCAGCATTCCAGTCCATTCCCATCCCAATCCCTGGCAGCATTCCAGTCCATTCCCATCCCAATCCCACCCAACATTCCAGTCCATCCCCATCCCGATCCCACCCAGCATTCCAGTCCATTCCCATCCCAATCCCACCCAGCATTCCAGTCCATTCCCGTCCCAATCCCACCCAACATTCCAGTCCATTCCCATCCCAATCCATCCCACAGCAGATGCTTCCCAGGCTTCTCCTGGGGCTCTCTGGGCATCCCAAGTTCCTTTCCAGCTTATCCCAGTTTGCCCAGAGCCTTTCCCAGCATCCCCATCCCTGTCCCACCCCACACCATCTCCAGGCTTTTCCCGGGGCCCCACCTCACCCCGGTTTCCCCAGTGCCCCCCAGGACCCTTCCAGCGGCTGGAAAACCTGGAATTCTGCCCTCTGCCCCTCGGCAGGGCGCGGAGCCCTTCTCCCAGCGCGGCTATTTCGGGAGGAGGGGCCGGACCAAGGATTCGGATGCCAAGGCCCCGGCGCGGCCGCCGGAGCCCAACGAGCCCCCCTGGTGCCACTTCTGCGACTTCCGGGAGATCACCCACGTGGTGGTGAAGGAGTCCCGGATCAGCATCCACCGGCAGGACAACAAGTGCCTGGTGAGCCCTGCCGGGGTCCCGGCAGCGCCGGGGGAGGGACGGGAGGGTGTTCCCAGGTTTGGGGCGCTCGGGGCTCAGCCCTGGTGGTTGCTGTTGGCAGGAGGTGGCTCTGCCGTCGCCGGGGCTCGCCCTGTCCCTGGTGTCGCTGGTGGACGGATATTTCCGGCTCACGGCCGATTCCAGCCATTACCTGTGCCACGACGTGGCCCCGCCCCGGCTGCTCCTGAGCGTCCGCAACGGCATCCACGGGCCCATGCAGTGAGTGGCTGCTTCCCGGGGGAAAGGGGGGTGATCCTGATCCTCGGGGCTCATCCGGAGCTGCTCCCTGTCCTGAGGGCTCATCCAGGGCTGCTCCCTGTCCTCGGG